AAATGTGGTTAGAACAGACCACATCGCAACTCAAACATTTTCTTTTTGTTCTTATGTTTTTAAACCACTGTATGGAAGTATGATTGACATACAAATATGATGTACATATTTAATATATACAAATTAACAAGTCTGGAAATAAGTATACATCCCTGAAGCCATCACCACAAATAAGGCCTTAAACTCCTCTTTGCTCTGAGAGAAGATAATTCCCTGACTATTGAAGAACGTGATAAACACATAACTAACAGGCTGCCTGGAAACCAACATGTGCAGGAGCTCTTTCCAAGTCTGCCTTCAGAGGTGTTTTCCCTGTGGTTTCACAGAGACCCCTCCTCGTGAAGGTCCTCACCAGTGCCTGTGGCCGCTAGGGTACCTACTGAGCCAATAGTTTTTGCTCATCCTGCGGGGGTAATTTGGCAATATTCAGACATGTGCAGCATGATAAAAGCTATCTCTGTGCATTGTAGATATAAATGAGAGCCACACTAATCACTCATCTCTAAGAACAGAGCCTACTAGAGGAAGGGAAGATGTATCCCATAATCTTGGAATTATGTAAGAATTGGTTAATTCCAACTGGATCCCAATAATTGGAAATATTCAATAATTTCACTGAGAGTTAATATCTTTTAATAATTTTGTTTAATATGATTTCATGGTGAGTTCAATTAAAATATATCTACTCGATGCCGACGTATCTAGAAAATCCATTTTAAAAATTGCATAATTCTTGGTCAGGCATGAGTGTTGGCATTATGTAGAGAAATCTAGTTGCCTTTTTTTCTTTTTTCTTTTCATCTGGCATAATGTAGACCTACCATTGGTAATGAGAATCTCCTTTGCTCAAAGGCTTAATGAAATAATACATTGGCTTTAATAATAATAATAATACCTTACATGTGTATTCCGCTTTATAGTTTATGAAATCCTTTAGGGCAAAATACATGACTACATCTGTCCTAATTTAAACTTTGCCTGGGATATTAATCTTACAGATAATTAGTTTTTTTAAACTGAGCTGGACTAAGATAATTATATCTTGGACGAAGATAATTATATCTATCAGTGATTTTCCAGGAGCAACTATCTTCTAATAGGTGTGCATGACAGGGAAGACCCAGAGAAATCACTTTGCAAGTTTCATTTTTTCATTACAGATGAATTTCAAACGGTATTTTTCCCCATAAAAATATCCAAAGTAATTTATTCCCCTTGGGGTCTGATTTTTTTCCCCCTCAGAGTCTGATTTTAAAATACTATATAAAATCGATGTTTTTTTAAAAATCCATTTTACTGGTTAATTATTTTATAATAAAATATGTAAATTTGTTAGCAAACTAAAACCAAGAAAATAAAAAAATCGACCACCACACACAATGTCAAGCCATTTCTCTTTCAGGTATTTTCATGGTGTTTTGTTCTACCATGCACCACTTCACAAGAGGCATGAGTCAAATATATGAGGTCAACAGCTGTGGCAACAGGGACCCTTCAGAGCAGCCGTATGGGATGATAAGAACCTTTTACATCGCTGCTGAAGAGGTAGAATGGGATTATGCCCCTAACAAAAACTGGGAGTTCGAAAAGCAGCACTTGGACGCAGGAGGGGAAAGGTACCATGGGCAAAGACGCCACGTCTGTTGGGTGGGATTGTACATGTGCTGTAGACATTTATCAGATGTGGAAACCTAAGAATGTCCTGGTTTAGCCTGCATGGTTCTGGCAGACTTTTACCATGTGCACACGAGATTAGGGAAGCTTCCCATCTCCATTCCAGAAAGGAGTTCTGGAGTCATTCTGAGGGCACTTCGCTCAGCACTGCTGTGCCAACGCTGTGGCTGGTTCCAAGTGTGGCTGTGGATCAATGAATGTGCCTTTGAGTGTGTATAGAGCAAAAGGATTTAGGGAAAGGGGCAGGTGCCACAGTGATCATGGAAAGACAAAAAGGTGCAGCGGGCATCAGAGGTGGTGTGTAGATCAAGTGAGAGGACCACGGGGAAGGGGGACGGAGGATGGGCATTGACCGAGTGCTGATCAGGGTGAGAGACAACCCAGCAGCAGGTAGGAGGCATTGCCTTGGCAGAGATCCCAAGCTGGGAAAGGAGGAACAGATCATTCTACTAGGCCCTGTATCCAGAAATTCTGCAAGATTGACCCTCCCATGAAAGAGCTGTCAGTCAGTGCTAAACAGCAAAGAATCAACGAGGCTCAAGCAAGCAGGCTCGTGATCCTTGGTCCTCTACCTGCCCTAAACCCTCAGGGTGCACTGGGATAGAGTTCGACAAGGTATAGAGGCATCTGTCAAGTTCAGACCTGCACACCTCCTCCCCCAAAGTTCCTACCCCTCACTTCACAACTACCCTCTGCTTTGGTACTATTGTCTCCATACAGAAGAGGAGACTCAATGCAGAGAGTTAAATCATTCAGTTGGTCATTGGCAGAGTTGGAATTGAATACAGGCCTTTTGAAGGACAAATCTGTTTCTCTCCACTACACCATGTTGGCTTTGGTGCCTATGTTTCTCTTTGTTCTTTATTATCACCCTCCCCTCTCCTACCCCTCATACTAATCCCCTATGGCTGTGCCACACAAACTCCTCTACACAAAACTGTTCCTGATCTTACCATGTTCGGTTCTCTTCTTGTTGGCCTCTGTTTAGAGGTCTCAGATTCCTGCAAAAGAGAGTATAACAGTGCCACCTTATGGATAAAGGAAGGAACGAAATGGCTTAATTTTTAAAAGATTAGCCTCAAGGACAACTTGAAATTTTCAATTATTCACCAACCCATTTGTTAAATTAATCAGACACCCCTCTTCTGCAGAATCAGAGCTGCCAATATAAGCTAAGCTGATTCTGGTGCAGTGGAATATGAAATAAACACTAATTTGGCTTTTTCTAAAATGATTATTTCATTAAAGTGCTGCCACAATTAAAGAAATAATTATATAATAATTTTGTCTCATGTACAGTCTTAGCCCATGAGTATGCAAGAAACAGCCTTAACATAGCCTTTCTTGACACTCAGTGTAATTTCTGTTTTGAGCCCTCCATCCTTCTGGGCTGGCAGGAAGCTGTAGTTTCAGTCTTCTAGGATTGTCTCCCAAGTGACGCAGAGAGATGGAAGGTGCTGAGTGTGCTTGTACCCTGCCCCTGCCACTCTGGGTATTGCCCACAAAAGAATAAAAACAAAGTGAAATGAGAGAATATTCACATACTCAAAGCACGACAGATCTGTAGATAAAAGCGTAGTTCAGAATTGATATGACGAGTTCCCCTAGTGGCACATCTATGGCACCCCTGTAGATAGAAGCCCTGGGACAAACACTCCTTCTGCACACCAGATGCTATGTTTCTGCCCTTGGACTCAAAGCCAAACATCTTGTTTTCCAGCCACCTCTCAGTGCAGGTTATCCCTGAGACATTTATTGTCCTGGTCAGCACACCTGAGGCCTGGAAGTCCTTCCTAGGGCCTTACTAAGCACATAATGAGAAGCCATCAAAATACTAAAAGGCAACAAATGGGATCATCAGCACAATGCCAGGGTTTGGGCAGTGCGGGCAGAGGAGGGGCGGGGCTTGGAATTTGAAAACAGGGGGGTTATGTTGCTATAGAGATAAAAAAAATTGTATTTCTCTCATGGACTTATATGCAGGTAAAGTAACCAGCCTGAGATTTGAGATAATTACTACCATCTACTGAGCACCCACCATGATTCAGGCATTTTGCTAGGGCTTTTACAAACTCTTATCTGGTAGAACCCTTGCAACCACGCTTGACCCATTTGATCAGCTTTGGCCCAGCATTGCATACGATATTCAAGGAGATGATGATCAAGCAAGTACTTACATGCTGCCTAATATATATCTGACATAGGACTTTACAGATCTTATCTCATATAATCCTCACACCAATCCTGGGAGCTAGATGCATTATTATCTTCCTATTTGCAGAAAAGGAAAGCTGGAAAACAGCAGAGCACGGCTCCAGAGTCTGCGCTTGTCACTACCACAAGTATTATTGGGACCCCTGGAAAATAAAAGTAGAAGGAAAATTCTCTACCCTTAGAAACCATACAGTGTAGGGTGAACACACAATGCAGTGTACAAATGATGTATTATCGAAGTGTACACTTGAAGCCTATTTAATTTTATTAACCAATGTCACCCTGATAAATTTAATATAAAAATAATTCAATTGGATTGTGTTTTTTTGTTGTCGAATTGTTTAAGTTCTTTATATATTTTGGATATTAACCTCTTATCAGATGTGTCATAAGCGAATATCTTCTCCCAATCAGTCAGTTGTCTTGTTTTGTTGATGGTTTCCTTTGCTGTACAAAAACTTTTTAGCTTGATGTAGTCCTATTTATTGTTTCAGGTCTTATATTTAAGTCTTCGATCCATTTTGAGTTAATTTTGGTATATGGTGACAGATAACAGTCTAGTTTTATTCTTTTGCATGTGGCTTTTCATTTTCTCAGCAACATTTATTGAAGAGGCTTTCTTTTCTATATTGTATATTTTTGGCTCCTTTGTCAAAAATTATTTGCCCATGTATATGTGAGCTTATCGAATTATACTTAGCATAAAAGTTCCCCTTATTCAGGCTTACCGAGAGTAGCACGGACTGTAACCTTTTAGAAGAATTCATCCTAGTGCCTTCAGCTATCTAATACTATGACAGGAGTGTTTCTCAAAGCATAAAGACCACATGTGTCAGCATTTCCTGGGATGCTTGTATACTTCTTACTCCTACCTATGCGCAGAGAATCAGAAACTTGGAGTATGAGCCCCCAAATTTGCAATTTACTGAATTCTTTGGATGATTCGCAGTCATGTTACAGTGTAAGAATCTCACATTTGTTAAATATCTACTGTGTGCTAGGCATTGTGTAAAGTGCTGGTAAAACTGCTGGGCAGGGCAAACAAGGTTCTTTCCCACAAAAACCCCCTAGTCCATGGGGAAGACGTTAGAACAAGCATGTTGAGTGAAGCAATCACTAGGAGAAGGAGTGCAGGGTGCAGCAGGAACTCACAGCAGTAGCACGCAGCCCAGTGGGGGCGGGGGGGGGGGAAGATAGGGAAAGGGTAAGTGGTCAGGGAAAGCTTCCAAGAGGAAGGAGTCTTGGACCTGGAATGTGAGGAGTGGACAAGTTGAAGAGGTAGGAAGCACGTTCTGGGCATAGGGAGCAGCACATGGAAGGCCTGAAGGTGAGGAGAGTACGTGGTGCTCAAGAGAGTGAATGCTTAGAATGACTTGAGCATGGAGTATCTGGGGGCCAGTGATGGGAAACAAGGCTTGAGAGGCTGGCAGAGGCAGACAGTAAAGGGGTGGTATCAGAGGCAATTCAAGTTGTTTGGCAGCAGGACGCCATAAAAGAGGCTTTCCACAATGACAGACTTGGTTGAATTTACAGTTTAGGATCACTCTGCTTGCTGTGTAGAGAACAGAGGGAAGGAGGAGTGTAGGTAGCAAGGAGAATGATTAGGAGCAATTTTAGTTAATGTAGGTAAGTCATGGAGGTAGTTTAAGTCGGAGTGTGGGCAGTTTAACAGTGGGAAATGGAAGGATATGAGACATATTATATTTTAGAGATAAACGGATATTCTTTCTATCTTTTGTGATGATCTATCCTGATGATAGATTAAATATACAGTCAATCTTCATTATTGGTGGGTTCCATATTTGTGAATTCGCCTTCAAATCAATTCTTGTGGTACTTTTGTGGTAATTTGCAGCAAAAATTTTGTGTAAATTGATATATATGTTCCCAGCTGAGGTCAAACAAGGCTTCACTGTGCCTTCTTGTTTCAGATCTCATACCACATACAAATGTCATTTTTGTGATTTCTTTAGTGCCACTCTTTTTGTATTTTTATGCTTTTTATTGGTAATTTAGCTATTAAAAATACACCCTACCCCCAGCATAGTGTTGAAGTGCTGTCTAGAGTTTGAATGCTCAAGAAGGCCTTACAGAGAAAATACATAGGTTAGATAAGCTTCATTTAGGCATGAGCTACGGGGCTTTTGGCTGTGGATTCAGTATTACTGAATCAGCAATATATATTAAGATGTCTTTAAACAGAAACACATAAAACACATATATATTGATACGATGATGAAAATATTATGGCCAGTGTTTAGAAGGAAACTAATCCTGTATCTCCCCTAGGAATAATGGTTCAATGTTCAATAATTCAATATTTGTGGTGACTTTCTATGACATAACTACAAGAATCAACTGTATCTATATTTGTACATGGGCGTATGTACAAACACAAACCACAGGCTTTCTTGAGATCAGAGTGGAAAAACATAACAAGGCACAGAATGATATGTATGAAATCTAGAGGAATGCAGGGTAGTAGAGTGTGGGTGTGTGCATGTATGGGCATGTGAGGTTAGCTAGTCCCAAGAAGTATAAACTCGAGGGGCCCTTAAGAGTCTCCAGCTAAAGCTGACCCTATTTAGCACCCATCAGGCTATAGAGCAACTGTTCCCAAAAGTGGACCATAAGCCAGTACTGGGGTGCCCACATCAGAGCCCCTTAAGCACTTTCAAATGCGGATTCCTGGCTCCACTCCCAGAGAGCCTGGTGCAAAAGGCTAGCTTCACAGGGAAATCCTGATCGAAGCCAGGTTTTAGAGGCACTGCCCTGGAGCACTCCTGGATCACTCAGAAGCACTCAGTTTTTCTACTGTCTCACGACTTTAATTTCTGATGCTTCTGATTTGCAGACACGGAGATATATTTATGAACCACACTGAAAACTGGATTGGCTCTCAGTACAAGAAGGTGGTTTACAGGGAATACACCAATGGAGAATTTGTGGAGATCAAAGCCCGGCCACCGCGAGAGGAGCACTTAGAACTGCTGGGTATGGCACAGATGGCAGCGGTGTGCACGTCCATTAGACTTACCTGAGAAGGGAGCGAAGGAAGAGAGTAGCCTGACTGCATTCGCCAAGTGCAACCTCTTCCCACTCTCTCATCATTGAGGAGCAAGCTGTGTGCTCAGCCCGTCCAAAGAATAGTCATAATAAGACTTCCAGATAACGTGCAAACAGGAATCCCTATCAGCAAAGCAGTCTAACCACTATCTGTGGCCTTGAAGTTCCTTTTTCACTCCTCTGCTGAGCTGGGAAATTTTAATTTGAAACAATCTCATGCCTCAGAACAACAAGCAGAGTGTCTGCATATCTTCTTCAAGGTCCTTGATTATTCGTGCACAGGGCCATAACAACACACCGCAATCTCATGCCTCAGAACAGCAAGCAGAGTGTCTGCATATCTTCTTGATTATTCGTGCACAGGGCCATAACAACACACCATCCAAATAATTATAATGAAAGAAGAACCCCTTAATGTGAGAGGGCTGCTAAGGGTGAAAGACCTGCTTTCAATTTGGGAGGCGCTCACTCATGGCCTTCTCAGAATGCACTCCACCTGTCTGATGCCCTGAGCCTCCTGGCCTGGCCATCAAATAGTGCTTCCTGTCTTCCTCCCCACTTCTCTTCACCTGGGAGTCACCCAACCTGACCCCATCGTAAAGATGAGATCTTAAGGCAGAGGGCTAATCTAGATGACTTTATGAAATCTGTTCTCATTTTTAAATGCACAGGTAACTTATGTATAAAGTATGGCATTATACAGTGTTTTTTAATATTAAAATAAGGTACGATGATTGCTAGCTCGATAAATTATTAAATACCCCATCCACCTACCCCATACCTTCACTATCTATTAACCCTGGAACACGCACTCAAGCTTGTTTGTCACATTGAATGAAGTCAGCGCCCGTGAGAATGTTCTTTCTTTCAAAACTTGTGTATCAATTGAACTCTTAAGAAAAGGTGCTGGTTCTGCTGAGGGCTCTGGGTTGCCCCCAAAGAGCCCTGGTTTGGGTCTGTTCAGTAAAATGACACAAATGAGTGACTCCATCAAAGGTTAGCCAAGTGGCACTTCAGCCAGGGGAGCAGAAGGCCCATCTACTCATTTTCTGCACCCCAGGGAGAGGCCTATGCTCCTAAAGTTACAAAGGGCACATGGCAGGCATATTACTCCTCATTACTGCTTCCTGTGACCTACCAGGCCATAAATCAGAAGGCATTCACTCTTACTCACCACTACAGCAAGACAAATGCAATTTAAGTGGTAATAAATATACAAATCATGATTTTACTATATGCATACACATGCCCCTACCTATAACTATACTCATATTTACTGTTAAAAAAACATGCCTAAACATTACTTTTTGAGCTTTATCATTTTTTTAAATGAGCATTTTTCAGACATTTTGTGATTTATACTATTTCATTCCAAAGATAATAATAGCACAAAAAATTTTAGATTTTTTAATGCCTTTAGTGATCTTTCTCAAAAAAGCAGTTAAAACTTTGGTCTGAATCAGTGAAGACTGGCTGGGTACGGTCAGGCCTTCCATCCCCCCAACCCCCGCTCCCGCCCTGCGTATATCTCCCTATGAATGTAGAGTGCGATAAATGCCCAAGAACACAAATAAACAGGGATCAGGTCTGAGGTGCTTTCAAAGTGGGAATCTGTTTCCATCCTCCTCAAAGTGGTGCCTCTTGAAGACCACTGTGTGTCTGATGCTCTGTCAGTATGGGGCGTGCGTGGGGCAAACTGTGTTTGTGCCACATTCTAGGCACCAAGAGGTGACCTGGCCTGAGCAAGGCGCATTCCACAGTCATGTTGGCACAGGCCTCTCCAGTGGAGTGTGGAATAGTTTCCACTGGCACATGGGCTGGTTGCTTCTAACAGAAATGGGCACATGTGGGGAGCTGAAGAAAGCACATGTCATCAAGTATCCAAATATTGAGAAACTGCACTGGCCATGCATTAGTGAAATCACTGTATTGATCATAAGTCAATACATGAATGTTTTAGTTTTGTTCTTATCTTTCAAATCTGTTTTATACACATATAATGTATATATATAATATATATATACATATATACATTATATTCATTATCATTATTATTATTTTCATTATCATTATTATTATATCCATTTACCAGATAGTGAGCAATTTCGGACCTAACAAATTTACACAGGGGAATTACAACTAAAAGTCATCATATCATAGATATGGCTTTTTCTGGAAATTATGTCTCAGCAGTAGTAAAAATTTAAGGACTTATTACTGTGTTTTGGTGCACTGAAATAAGCATTTTACATACATTATCTTATTTAATTCTTACTATAACTTTATGAGAAAGGTGTAATTAACCCCATTTTACAGATGAGGAAATTGAGACTTAGGCAGGCCTTGACTTACCCAAGCCCTCTGTAATAAGTGAAGGAGGCAGGCTTTGAAGCTAGGTCGATCCAATTGCCACACACTACATATTTAATACTAAATATATCGCCTTCTTCACTAATGAAGAAGCTAACCTTTGTTTTATTTTGCCAAATACTACCTATATTTAAATTACATCAGTGTTGAAAAGAGCAATGATAATGCACACAGACCTGTGTTTTGCCTTTAGGCCCAATGATACATGCTGAGGTGGGTGACTCTATCCTGATCATATTCAAGAACAAAGCCAATCGACCCTACTCCATCTCAGCCCACGGTGTGGAGAATATGGATAGTGAGAAGCGACTCCAAGTGCCTATGACAAAGCCAGGTAAGTTACTCCAGAGATCTGCTATGTCTTGATGAGGACACAAGACTCAACCTTTTTCTGATCTCTAGCGTCTTGAAGCACTCATTTTAGTGTCAGTGTGTTCCAGCCGTCACCTAGTCACTCCCAGTGTGAGATCATCATTCATCTAGTGACCAAGTGTTTACAGAGGTTCTAGGGTCCATCAAGGACCTAAAAGTGTAGTAAATGTAATAATAGCTAACACATATTGAAAGTTAACCTTGTGCCAAGTACTATGCTTCATGTTTTTTAAAAAAACAAAAACTCATTTATCCTTACAATAACCCAGTAAGGTAGACACTAATATTCCATTAAATATGATAACATTGATTATAATGTCCATCACTATTCTTTTTTTTTAGAGAGAGAATTTTTTAAGTGTTTATTTGAGCCAAATTGACAAGATTGCCAGGAAGCAAGATCTCAAATGCTCCCATCATCATTATTTTATCTGTTACTAAAACAAGAAAAAAAATGCTGCTAATTAAACTTTAGCATGCCATTGATTGAAAGATGCAGCCTGACTTCAGTTATGTTAAATGTGAAAAATGTGCATCCTATAATTGATGAAATATGGTATTATGCCCATTTAACAGATGATGAAACACAGAGGAGTAAAGAACTTGACCAAGTGAAGCATTAGTTATGATGGAACCCCAGTTTGTTTGACTTCAGAACCTTGAAGCTCTTAATCACATATTTCTCTCAAGATATTTCAAATGAGTTTGGAAGAAAAAAGACAGACAAGATGAATCATTTCAGTAGTAGTGAGGATTATACAGCATTATACACCTTCTAAGAGGTGAAGAATTTCAAGAATATGTCTGAGTGTGCTTATAGAAGTTTCAGAGAAGGAAAATCTGTTAAGACCGATTGATTAATTAGGAGCACTTAGGGAAAGGAGTAACGAGGGAAAGCGTCATAAAGGAGGTAGAACTCCAACTGGGTTTTAAACGCACTGAAGGGAGAGAAGATCTCACAACTTAAGGAGCATCCCATAACACTTACATGGTTGAAGTGTGGTAGTAATAAATGGGAGGAGCCACTATGACTTTCAGTTATGAAATTGACAGCAACCATTGGCATATTTATGGGGGAGTTATATTCCTTTTTACCTCTTACATATAATAATATTATAATACTTAATACTATAGTAATTACAATAAAAGTTATGTAAACTAAAAAAAAAAAGAGAGATGCATAAAAAGAAGAAAAGAAAATCTAATGTATCACTAGAAAAAGTTAGCAAGGTACCTATGCAGGGACGGGGTTAGAGGAAGGAAAATCTTCACTGGCCACTGGCCAACTTACTCTGCCACTCCCCACTTCACCCCATTCCCAATATCAAAAGCCTGTGTTTTGCTGCTTCAAGAAACTTTTCATGAACATCCTAAATGTCTATCAATAGGAAAATAGTTAAATAAAATTGGAATATCCATATAATGGCCTATTATGCAACCATTCAATGATATTTAAGAAGATTTGAATGGCATGTGAATGACTTGTGGAATCATGTTAAGCAAAATACAAGAAAGGCCAGAAGGGAAATAAGCCAAAATGTTAGTAGCAGTTAAAGCTTTGTGGTGGTATTTTGAGTAGTGGAGTGAGATACTCTTTTCTACTTCTTCACATTTTTTGAACTTGTTAGATTTTTAAAAAATGGATGTGTTTTGCTTCAGTGAAGAGGGAAAGGTTTTTAAATGGCTCAAAAAAGCCACTAAATATTCATTTTTGATGGCTCAAACTATCTCCAGAGGGAGAAAGAAAGGTGCCAATCTGGCACTGGTGAGGCTCTGTAGGACTGTGGACAAGTTGGGGTGACCTTTCACAGGCCGTTGTATCCTAATGGTGTGACTAGCAAAGGGCACAGCTCCTCTATGCTGGCCGGCCTTCAAACAGTCCTTGATGTGAGGGCTATGTGAGTGGGGAGAAGAATGATTAGAAAGTGACAAAGGGGCATTTTTCTTACTGGAACTCAAAGGGAGGGAATCCCTTCTGTGGGTCTCTGACAGGCTGAAAGGTTTGGGAGAGCTGAGATGGGGACAGGAGCAGGGAACTAACTTGGTGCAGACAGTGCAGGCAAGCTGGAGAAGGTTCATCGGGGAATCCCCATGAGACAAGGAGAGCATCATAAGAAAAGTAAGCAGCCCCTGTCAAATTTCTTCTTTTTAAATTAAATTACTCAAAAAACATTTGAGTAATTTAACTGGGCATCTTTTTATTTAGAGCCGTACTCCCTGCTGGAGTGTCAACTTTAATAATACCACCCCTGTAGCCACTTGCATTTAGGAAGTTAAATTATCAGATGGTAGTCTTGCAATTAACAAGGCATTGGGGCTATAATGAAACTTGATGAAAACTAGACCTAAAGTTAAATTACTAACCTACTGGTGTAGGAACAGATATAGAGCAAAGTTACAAGTAAGCTTTACTTTTGTTTTGCTTTGTGGCTCACATCCAGCTATAGGTTGTTTGTCCTGATGGGGTGGGGATGGGACACAGGTAGCTCCAAAGGAGATAAGAATTTAAATGTGGCTTTTATTTGAGACTTTTACAATGTGATTATCTTCCTAATTCTTGAGTATATTTATGACTCCTCTGCAAGGCTGTGGGTCAGCCACAGGGGATGCATAGATACAGCGCCTGTCAATAAGCTGTATTAATATACATACAAATTAACATTTATTGACTGCCTTTAATGTAAGGCACTATCCTAGGTATTTTATCTTATTTAATTCTCACAACAATATGAAAACTCGGATAACTAACCCACTTTCCAAGTAAAGAAACTAAAGGTCAGTGGGGTTAAGTAGCTTATCAAAGATTGGGTATATTGGAAGTCATGGGGTTGAGATTTGGAACTAGGTCTCTCTGATTCTCTCTGGTTCTAACTAGATCTCATCTGCCTGCAGATTAAAATTACCCGAGAAGCTTTAAAAAATGCTGATGTCCTAGTCTCAGACCCTGATACTCTTAATTTGATCGGTTTGGGATGAGGTCTGAGCAGTGAGAATTTACAAAGCTCCCTGGAGATTTCATAAGAAGCCAAGGCTGAAGTCTATGGTAATTTAAGTGTGCTCAAGCATAGCTTTTGGGAGGGAGATATGAAATTTGAGAGGGAAAAACAGTGAGGTATAAAATGTCTTCATTTCCTGAATAAACATCAGTTGATAATAGAAGGGCAAACTAGAGGGAAGGCTGTAGTCTGAAATGAAAAATCTGCCATTTTGAAACTGCAGAAAATCAAGATGAGTTTAATGGGAACTATCTATTTCTAATAGATGAGTAATTCTCCCCAGCAATAAACATTAACCAAAATATATAAAGATCCATTTGTATTTCTTCAGGTAAATGATCTGGAACAGAGATAACGCTAGTAAATTATTTCTTTTTCTTTTCATTTGTTTCAGGAGAAATAAAAACTTATAGATGGAATGTCCCTAAAAGGTCTGGTCCAGGGCCATCTGACCCAAATTGTATTCCATGGGTTTACTATTCAACAGTAAACTTTGTGAAGGTAAGGTGGAGAGAGCAACCAAAACACTCAAAGCAATATGGCTTTCGGTTGACTACTAAGTTATCACAGCTCTGGTGGGTATATGTGAAGAGGTGCGATGTTTAAGAGCAGGGGTCTCAAACTATGGCCAGGCCCATTTGTTTACATTGCCTATGGTTGAATAGTTGTGACAGAAAAAGTATGGCCAACAAAGTAGAAAATATTTACTATCTGGCACTTCACAAAAGGAAAGTTTGCTGACTCTTAATCTAAAGTTTGTGGGGGAAACAGTCGATCATGTTGTAATGGCTATATAGGGTATCAGATGGGTGCTAGATTGATTAGGGTGATCACTTCATAAGTAATATAAATGTCTAATCGCTATGTTGTGTAGCTGAAACTAATATAATATTGTATGTCAACTGTAATTGAAAAATAAAATTATTTTTTTTAAAGACAATAAAATAGTATGGGGGGAGACAAAATCCCAATGTTTCAATTACAAAATTTAGAACTTATGAGGCAGTTTGCAGCAATAGAAGATATGTAAATAACCATAAAATAAAAATATTTTTAAATATAATTTATACCATGGTTTTTGATGTGTTAAATCTATCATTTTTAAAGGCATTACCACTGCTATCAGGGCTCAGGAAAAGACAGCACACTCCAAACAGTAACTGAAACTATGAACTATCAGAATGATAAATAGGTTAACTTTATTTAGAAATTAAAGGCAAAGATCCAGTATTGGATTTGAGTCACATGAGTGTATACAAAACAACTAGTCTTTAATTATATGTCATAAATCAAAGTCCAAACTAAAATCACATTGGTATAAAATGTAAACACTGCCCATTATTTTATTTTATTTTTTATTTTTTATGCCTATAGCACCTGGTCTTCCTAGGTGGTCTCCCATCCAAGTACTAACCAGGCCTGACCCTGCTTAGCTTCTGAGATCAGACAGGATTGGGCTTGTTCAGGGTGGCATGGCCGTAGTGCCTATTATTTTAACAAAGTGAAAGATTATCTTAACCTTCCTTTTAAGTATTAGACGGCTGCATTAATATCCTTGAGTTGTAGTGGACAGTGCAAAAGTTCAGGATTGACATACAAGACACTTGAAAAAATAAACCTATACATTGGAATTATGGGATACCCACATTTATGTTTTTATTTGTGCATCCCAACAAAAATTTATTGAGCACTTGTGATTGCAAATGACTCTACCAAGTAGTTGAGCAATGCAAATATTGTCTTGAAGGAATTTATAATCTTTGGAAGGAAATAATGCATGTGCATACTCATAATTATAATACAACTCTGAATCTGGTGAGTTCTATAGGAGGCATTAGAAAGAGAGTCTAGAAGAAAGAACATTATAAACAAAGCTGCAAACAGGAAAGCGGAAGGTGTGTCTGGGAAATGGTGAGTCCCATTTAGCTAAGTTAGTGAAAAGAAAAGAAAGCAGTGGGGAGCTTAAACTAGAGAAATCTCCTGGAAGAGCACATGAGGGGGTTGAGGACCTGTCAAGGATTTAGATTTTATTCAGTGGGCCATGGAAATTCACTGAAGACTTCTACATATGGAAATGATGAGATTAATCTGATGGCAGTGAACAAGATGGGCAGCAGGTGAGATGAGCCAGAAACCAGAGAGGAGCCTATTTCTAGTCCAGAGTGAGGTGGTAAGATCCTACACTAAAAGCGGGGCAGATGAAATGGAAAGGAAGTCACAGAATGGAGAAGCATGGGGAAAGGAAAAGAAATAAATGTGAGATCTAACAGGAAACGAGATGGCACAAAGTAAAGAAAGAGAAATTAAACATTGAAATCAAGTTTTCTGACCTAAATGACAGATAATATCATAATGCTGTTTATAGAAATAGGGAATTGAGGAGGAAAAAATGGTTTGAGGGAAATAATAAAGCCCACTTTAGAAATGCTTAGCAGATTGAATCATTGCTGGAAGCACATCAGGAACAATATCTAAGTAGGCAGTTGGAAAAGTGGGAGTTTTCCTTAAAAGAAAGTTTGGGGCTGAACTACTTGACATGGAGGTCATCATCCATGGTCCTGTATCATTTACTAATCACCCTGTTCACTTTTACTTGCAGAAGTAGAATATAAATATTTGCATATAGCTATAAATATAGTCTCACTTAAAAAACAAACACAAAAATAGAAATAAGCATTTATTTATTTAATGAATATTTATTGACTACTTTCTACTAAACATGAGGTTGTGCTCTGAAGACTGTGATAAGTGAGGGACACAGCCTTGGACCTCAAGGAGTTCACTCTGTAGCAAACTTTTAGGAATACTCCTAAATTTTCATAAAGATCACCCTGATTCTCAGGGCTCCTTAGTACTTATTTCATAGTCATTAGTCTCTTTACAATGACTTTCTTACAAGCACTTAATCTGTATTATTAAATTATTTAAAGGCTTTTCTAATTCAGTTTTATTTTCTTTCAGGATACATACAGTGGTTTGATAGGTCCTCTGATTATATGCAGAGAAGGAGTGTTGAATGAAAAGGGAAGAAGAAGTGATGTTGATTATGAATTTGTTCTCTTGTTTTTGATATTTAATGAGAATGAATCTTGGTATCTGGATGACAATATTAAGAAGTATCTCAATAAAGACCCAAGAGATTTTAAGCACACTGACGATTTTGAGGAGAGCAACAGAATGCACGGTATATCAGAGGTTTTAAAAGAAGACCCTTGTTGAGATAAGCTCACAGAAATTTCTATAACTGCAAGAGGTCACCAGCCTCCTTCTCTGAGCCCTTCCCCATCCCCCAGGACACTTGGACTGAAGAAAGTCCTCTAAAGCTTCCTTCAGTGGGAGCCAGCCAAGCCATTGGTTGGCTGCCAGCAAGGTCCAGTGAAGCTTTAGACCAACTGTTTTAGGGACTTCTATTTCTGAATTCTGGGATCCCTAAATTATGAAACCATGAAGTAATTCCTAAAAAATGAATCATCACTTATAAGAATACGCCATAACTTCTAATTGGTCAAATTTAAGGGCCTGGTTTAACTGTTTTTGATAAAATGCCATCATCAAATTTATGTTTTAATGTGTCTACGTTATTTAATTCCATGTAATTTAAGGCAGTTTTTTTTTTTTTTAAGTGGGAATAATGTGTTTAATTGACACATCTGCACTCTTTCACCAAGATGTACTTTTGGCCAAAAGTGTACAAAAAGATAGGCCCTGCCCGAGGTCATAAAGCTACTTAATTGCTAACGTTGATTAGAATATAGTAGCCTGATCTCTGATTCAGCTATTTTCTCCTACCAATTTTGCTTCCCTCTCCCAAACGTTTCTTAGTATGTCTCTCTTCTTAATGAATGTAACTAATTTGGTTGTATCATGATGCACAGAATAAAAATTTAGTAGAAAACAAGAGTGAGTCACTATCACGTCAACCCAGCTTGAGTTTCCTTTGGTCACTCTGAGATCATGGGCTCAGCTGATGTGACGTTTTTTGGAGAGTCAGACAGACTTAGGAACTTGCCCCAAACTAGTTCTCAGAAAGTGAAATATTAATGAAATAACTTCTAATTGGTTCAATTATGATTTATATACATTTGATCTCTGCTTTAGTCCACTCAACTGTAGAATGGTATAAATCTGGCTACCTCACACATGTAGCTGTAATCTACAGCATAAAAAGAATATGCTGAATAAACAAACACAACTCACATTGCTCCCCAAGAAATAGCTTTCAAAAATAAACTGCTATTTCTTCTTTCTAGCCCTTTTTGTATAAGGATTTCTTAGTAATCTGGATTTTTGGTCTAGATGGTGGGGACATTGACAAGCGCAAGTGAGATTGTTCCCTGTTTATCAGGCAGATGAGAATATTGGTGACCTAAAAATCGTCTTGAACCATTCCTAAAACCAGATTAAGTAGTGAGTATTTTCTCACTAATCAAAAGCTATTTTCTTTTCACCGTCTTAGCTATTAATGGAAAGATATTTGGGAATCTCCACGGCCTCATCATGAATGAAGATACAATGACAAACTGGTATTTGTTAGGAATAGGAAGTGAAGTGGACATTCATACCATCCATTATCATGCTGAGAGCTTTCTTTTCAAAGTAAGTTTAAGGAAAATACTTTGGGGAAGACATTTTGAATGAATAAATTCAATAGATTTCCATTGTGAAGAGGGTTATTTACTAAGAAGTTCTATGAGGGGTGGGTAGTCAGTATTAAAGAATGGAACAGAATAGTGTGATTATACCCCTCCCCTGATAGATATTTCTTAATATGTACATACATTTTATTGTGCTTGTTTAAAAAACCTCTCTGAACTTCAGATTTTCATCACTTATATGGGGATAATTCTAACTACTCTGGATAATGCTGTTGATATTATATATGAAAGCATCTATAGAATTTTGCACCTTTTCCTCATCCTTCCTTTTTTTCCTTTCTCTTTCCTTTCCCCATTTCTTTTCTATGTGATTAGCCAACAGAATAGCCCTATCTAGTAACGAAGCTATTTCCAGCTTTGGCTTGGGTCCAAAACTTTACTTTGATTTTTGCCCTAGTGAGCTATACTGGACCATGTGTGGCCTTTTGCCTCTCCAGCATCTGTATCATATGGTTGGTGCTGGCTTTACAGAATCACCTGGGGAGCTGTTTAAGAAACAAATTGCCAGGCCTTACTCCAGACTGGCTGAACTGGAATCTCTCGTGATAAAGTCCAAATAGTCAGTTATCTAAACTGCTCAGTGCAGTCTACAAGGAAGTAAAGCAGAGAAGAATAATCACATCTGATCTGTAAGGAAAAGCTGTATTGGTTCTTTCCTAGTTATACAGGAATAAAAAGTAACTTTAATAAAATTTTGAACATCCTCTCCTCTCTGTATATTTATTCAACAGTTTAAGACACCAAGTATTAGTCTGTAATGATAATAGTTTTACATGTTAACTACCTATGCTCATTTTCAGAACTTACACTTTAAACCTACACTTTAAAAAATTTATAAAATTTAATATCATCTATAAAATTATAAAATTTTATATACATATAAAAATTATTTTATATAACTTTTTAAAACTAAGGTATAATTTACAGTGAGTACAAATCACCCTCTTTAGGTACAGTTCTGTTTTAATAAACACAGACAGTTGTGTAACCAATACTAATAAAAACATAGAACGCATCACCTCCTAAAATTTCTCTGCTGTACCATCTGGAGTCAGTTACTTCTCCATGCTTAACCCCTGGCAAACATGGATCTATTTTCTATGGCTGTGGCTTTGTCTTTTCTGAAATCTCATATAAATGAGACTATACAGCCTGTAGCATTTTGAACCTGACTTGTTTCATTTAGTATAGGCATTTGAACTGCATCCCCCTTGTGTGTAGCAGTAGTTTTATTCCATTCGATTGTTGAGTAGTATTCCATTGTATGGATATACTGCACTTTGTTTATCCATTCCTCTGTTGAGGAGCATTTGGGTTATTTCCCAATTTTGGATTATTACCAAAATCCTTATAAATATTTGTGTACATGTTTTTGTGTGAACATAAGTTTTCATTTTCCTAGAGAAAATATCTATGAGTTGGATTGCTAGGCCATGTGGTAAATATATATCTAACTTTATAAGGAACTGCCAAACTATTTTCCACAGAGGCAGTACCATTTTGTATTCTCATCTGAAACATATGAGAACACCACTTGTTCCACAGCCACATTAGCACTTGGAATTTTCCATTTTTATTTTACTTTTCTTTGCCATCCTACTAAGTGTGTAGCAGTATCTCACTGTTTTTCATTTGCATTTTCCTAATGACTAATGATACTGAACATATTCTCATGTGTTTATTTCCCTCTGTCATCTGTAAATCTTTGGTGAACTGTCCAGATTTTATGCCCATTTTTTAATTGGGTTGTTTTCTTATTGTTGAGTTTGAGAGCTTTATACATTCTGGATATGAATCCTTTACCAGATATGAGATCTATAAATATTTGTTCCCAGTCTGTGATATATTTTCATTTCCTTAACATTACCAGTCAAAAAGCAGAAATTTTTAACTTTGAAGAAGTCCAGTTTATCATTTTTTTCTTTATGGATCATGCTATTAGTGTCATAACTAAGAAATCTTTGCTCAACTTAAAGTCACAAAGATTTTATTCTAGAAATTTTATAGTTTGAGGTTTTGTATTTAGGGCTCTGATCCATTTCAAGTTAATTTTTATTTATGGTTTAAGGTTTATTTTTTGCATATAGATGTCCAATTGTTGCAGCATCATTTATTGAAAAGACTACCCTTTCTCACACTGTGCAAAATTGTAATTGTCAGAGTCTATTTCTAGGTTCTCTGTTCTGTTATACTAATCTATATGTCTATCCTTTTTTGAATGTCACACTGTCTAGATTACTTTAGTGTGACAGTACGTCTTAAAATCAGGTGGTGATTTTTTTTAGGTATTCTAGATCTTTGCCTTCCCATATAAATTTTAGAAATACCTTGTTGATTTCTATTAAAAATCTGGCTAGGATTTTGATTGGAATTGCACTGAAGCTGTACATTCGTGTGGGAAGAATTGATATCTTAATATCGGGCCTACTAATCCATGAATATGGCATATCTCCCTATTTATTCAGATCTTCTTTGATTTCTTCCATCAGTGTTCTCTGTCTTCTGCATATAGATTTTGCATATATTTTGTTAGATTATCAGCTAAATATATCATAGACTTTGGTGATATATAAGTGGCATTGTTTTTATTTCAATTTCTAATTCTTCATTGCTAATATATAGAAATATAACTGGTTTTGTATAATTGACCTTGTACCCTGCAACTTTGCTAAACTATTTCTAGTAGCTTTTTTGTAGACTTTGAGGGAAGGTTTCCTACATAGACAATATGTGATTAGCGACAATCTTATTTATTTTCAATCTGGATGCTTTTTATTTATTTTCTTGCCTTATGACACTGGCTAGAACCTCTACTATAATGCTGAACATGGATGGTGAAGGTGGGCATCCTTGCCTTATTTTTAATGTTAGGGGAAAAGCATTCAGTCATTCTTCATTGAATATAAAGTTAACTGTAGGTATTTTGTAGATCCTGTTACCAAGTTGAGGAATTTTCCTTCTATTCTTAGTTTGCTGTTTTTGTTTTTTGTTTTTTTTTATCATGATCAGATGTTAAATTCTATCAAATGCTTTTTCTGCATCTATTGAGATGATCATATTTTTCTTTTTCAGTCTATTGATGATTTTCTTTACTATATTGGTAAATTACCTTTATTGATTTTCAAAAGTTGAATTAATTTTCATTCCTAGGATAAACTTTATAATGCAGTATCCTTTTCATATATTTCCGGATTCAATTTGCTAGTGTTTTGTTAAGGGTTTTTGCATCTATGTTGATGAAAAATATTAGTAGCAGCTTTCTTTTCTTATAAAGTATCTGTCTGGTTTTGGTATCAGGGTAATGCTGGCCTCATAAAATGAGTTGGCAATGTTCTCCCCTCTTCTGTTTCCTGAAAGTTTGTTTGGAATTGGTATTATTTCCTCTCTAAATGTTTGGTAAAATTTGCCAATGAAGACCTCTGGATCTGGAGTTTATTTGCTCGAAGGTCTTAAGATAATTGTTTCTTTAACAGATTATCTAAATAGTGATATATGTCCGTTTTCACCTTAAGAAATTTGTCCATACCATCTAAATCAAAGAATTCATGAACAAAGCTATTCATAATATTTCTTTATTATCCTTTTAAATGTCTATAAGGTCTTAGTGGTGTCTCTTCTTTCATTCTTGATATTTATAATTTGTATCTTTTTTTCCCCCTTGGTCAGTTTGTCTAGAGGTTTGTTTTAGTTATCTATTGCTACATAACAAATTACTCCAAAACTTAGTGGCCTAAAACAATAAACATTTACTATCTCACAATTTCTCTGGGTCAGGAATCTGGGAGTAGTTTAGCTAGCAGGTTCTGATTCAGCATCTTTCATGAGGCTACAATAACATGTCAGCTGGAGCTGCAGTCATCAGGCTTCACTGGGGCTGAAGTGAAGCTCATTCACAGGGATGTTGACTGGAGCCTTCAGTTCCTCACCATGTGGATATGGCATGGGAGCTGGCTTACCTTCAGAGTGAGTGATCCAAAAGGAAAAAACGAGAGAAAGGACGTAAGACAGAAGCCACTGTCTTTTATAACCTACCCTTTAAAGTAGAATGCCATCACTTTTGCCATATGCTATTGGTCTCAAAGATCAACTCTCATGCAATATAGGAGGGGACTACAAAGGTTAAGACTACTGGGAGGTGGGGATCATTGGGGGCCATCGTCTCGATTTTATTGATTTCTGCTCTTATCTTTATTATTTCCTTCTTTCTGCAGATAGATAAATCTTACCGAGAAGATGTTTATGATCTCTTTCCTGGGACATTCCAAACCATCGAACTGTTTGCAGATCACCCAGGGACATGGCTGTTACACTGTCATGTATCTGATCACATCCATGCTGGCATGGAGACAACCTACACAGTCCTTCGGAACATAGGTAGACTGTTGTCTGTCAGTGATGCCAAGTGATAGCACCAGGCTTCCTGTAGACCCTGAAAACAGAAGGCATGAGAAGCTCAAGAAGCTCAAAACCAAGCAAGAGACAGACATGTAAACAGTAACCACAATAAAATGTGATCCATGCCAAAATTGAGTGCAAAGTACAGGGTTTGGTGACAGTAGTAGGAAGTGATGGTTAACAGTTTGGGGATATGAGCCAAGGTTTCACAGAGGCCATAATGCTTTGGATGGATCTTAATGGATGAGTAGAAGCTTGAAAGGTGATTGGGGTAGGAACGGTATGTGTACTGGTATGAAGAGTAACATTGTGAGAATCCAAGAAAGACTTACAGATACTGATGGCATAGAGTCCTTATTGGTGAAACAAAATAACTCTTGAAACAACTCATGTCATGAAAAGAATCTACATCTGTTGTTTATAAAACAATCAACTTGTCTTCTCTGTCCAGACAACAGGATCCCCTACTCCACCAAGTCTCCTTCTGGAGGAGCATCCCACCCGGCCACTGTGCCCTCCAATGGTAAGGACTCCCTCTCTAAACCCTGCATGGTCAGTGTTCACTCTCCAGGGAAAGGCAGAGGACTGACACCTCACTTTTCTTTTTCACAGAAGAACCCGACAAGGAGCAGCTCTATTTCTTTGGCAAAAATCTGGGTCCTAGAGGAGCCAAAGCAGCCTTGGTTATTCTTTTCATCATCGGACTCCTCCTCCTGATTGTCACCGTGATTCTCTCCCTCAGACTGCGCTCTGCAAGGAAGCAGGTGGCATATCGGGAAGTCCAGTCCTGCGCGCTCCCCACGGATGCTCTGTGAACTGGCTTGCCCTCCTCGGCAGGGAAACTGGACAAGGCATCGTTCGCCAAGGAAGGTTCACACTGTATCCTGGATCCGGCTCTGATCCTCTGGGACACAACCAAAGCAATTTGCTTTTCTTTATTTTTAAATGGGCTGTGAATAATTTTTCAGTCTAAAATATAGAAAGAGGAGAATGGGTGTGATTGAACAGTCTCAAACTGTTTCCAGAATGAATTCCTTGAAGTGGGGAGAGCCTCTGAAAGATATCTTTATTTTCTACCTTTCATAATTCTTAGACAGCACTTCCTTAGCTTCCTTTTCTAGAAGGACAACTTTGGAAAAGAGTTGCCATCCTCAGACATCCAACTGGAATGACACTGATTTCTCAGCCATGTTATGTGACACGCTTCCCTTAGTTGTTCCAGGAAAAGTAACTTACTGAGGAATGTTTATGTCAGTATCTGCTGATAGCATTTGACCAAGTGAATTTTTGGGAGGCTTTAGCCAGCTCTCCTGGCCTTTTGCACGCTGTTACAAAAGGCAAAGTTAGAAGCATTTAAAAAATATTGCTGCTGTTTTTATGCAAACTTGTAGAGATACTTGAATGTTTACGACTCACTTCATGTTATATGTTTTTACAATGTTTCCATGGCAAAGTTTGTATTTTCAGGAATCAGTTAGAGAATTTTTACTTGTATTGTAGAGTGTGGGGGGCTGGAATCTGTGAAATAGCAGGCTATGTTCTCCCACTGTGAGTCAGACTCCCTGAGAGTTTAGTGGAAGCTTCTAAGACAGAGGGAAACTTTGCAGGAGGCAAGTCTGGATTTGAGTCTTGAGTCTGAGTTTTCATTCACCTTGGGGACCTTTCCAAATATCCATCTGCCAGGAAATAAAAAGAGTCTCATCCTGTGAGAAACACCAGGAAGAATTTAACAATGCAGCTGACTGGTTGGGAGGACAAAGAAATCACAAAATCCTTGATTCCACACCTCTTAAAGACATAGCCCTTTATGGGAGGAGAAGAAAAAGAAAAGGAAAGGTTAGAAAAAGAGAATCCCGGTGGCGATTTTTAAACCATCAAATCAGCTTTCAAAATAAGTATTATAGTTTTCAAGGCTCAAGTGCAAAAATAAAATGTGAACAACTAAACTCAACCCATCACAAGGCAATCAATACCTTCTGTATGCACGCCTCAGTGTTAGGTGTAAAATTGATAAAAGCAATATCGTTTATTAGTAAACTGAGGAATTGCCCTTAGCTCAGGGCCAGATGCCCTGCGATGCCAATGCCGATGCCAGATGAGTGATATTAGTACATTTGCCTTAGCTGTGGATCATTTGAGTGTCCAGGTAAACAAATAGGCCCTCATAAATACTTTGGTGGAGGGGACTTTCACACTATCTCATCTTTATCTTGGTGAGGGGAAACGGGTAATTTGATAGAAGCTACAGTCTTACATAAAACAGGATGCAAATGTTAATAGTTCTGTTCATAGTTTGCGTGAATGTCCTATCAAGCAAGGCACCAGAAAGATTTTGGATTCCAGCCTGCTAACCACTGATAATGTGATCTTGTAGTAGGTGCTCTCCAGTTTTCATACATGTGTAAGCTGTATAATTTCATAATAATAATTATGAGAAATGCCTTATTTATAACTCAGACAACAAATTTAGTTGTATGTTTTTTTCCTTTTCTCTTAATTTTTTTTAATGACAGTGAAACCACAAAGTAGTTTGATTATACCATTTCTCTTTTTAATAAAGTTTCACATAACATGGCTATTTGCATTACGTATCACTAAACCTGGGTGGGGGGATGGTAAAGGAGAATTACCTTTTAGATATTTAGCCACCGTCCTAGTTATAGTTGCTAAGGGAAAGCAAACAAAATAACGGTTTTTCTCCACAATATAGTCCACAAATAATATGACTCTCCCCATTGTTTGCTCAAATATACCAACACTTCTTCATTCTCAGCCTCACTTCTTTGGAAAAAATCAAGCACATTGCACACACCTTTTCCTCCTCTTACAATGGAAGAAGTGTTCCTGCTCCCAGCAGGGCCAGTCTGGTGCCCCGCTATGGACCTCATCCCTTTTTGCTTTCTCAAGGACTTCATTCCCTCAGTTAGGTCTTCCCTTCTGCATGAAGTCATCAGCAATGCCCACCATTAAAAACAGAAAGCAAACAAAGAACCACTGTCTTTAACTCTATCACCTCTCCAACCCAGTTTCTGAGTCTCTTTTGCTGATTCCTTCTCTTCTTTCTGATGGAAATGTTAGCATATCTCAGGGCTTGACACTGGGCCCTTTTCTCTATTTTGTTCTCTGGGGTAGGCTGAATAATGTCCCCCAAAATTCCATGTCCTTATCCCCAAACCTGTGAATGTTAGTTCATATGACAAAAAAAGGACTTTGCAGGTATGATTAAGTTAAAGATCTTGAGATGGGGAGTTGATACTGGATTACCCAGACTGGTCATAAGTACAAGCACAAGTGTCCTTCTAAAAGAGAGGCAAAGGGAGATTTGACTACAAAGGAAGGCAACGCAGCAACTAAAGCAAGCTGCTAAGCTGCTGGCTTTGGAGATGGAGGAAGGGGCCACAAGCCAAAGAATGCTGCTTTAAAAGCTGGAAAAGACAAGGGAACAGATTCTCCTCCACAGCCTATGGAGGGAGCCTGGCTGGGCTGACATCTAGATTTTATTCCAGTGAAAGTGATTCCAGACTTCAGACTACCCAAACTCTTAGAGAATAAGTGTGTGCCACCAAATCTGTGGTAATTTGTTACAGCCCTCTCCATAGGTTATTTCATCCTCCTTCATTGGATCTGAAAGCTATCTTTATGCTAATAAATTCAAAATGTGTTTCTCCTTATGCTGCAGACCACAAACCCCTGCTCAAGTAGGATCACTGCAGCCGTTTCCGATCCAGCCTCTCCACTGCCACTCTTGCCCCATCCAACCACTGCACAGACTGTAGCAGTGTCCTTTCAAATCTGATCACACACTTCCTTGGTAAATACCCTTTTGATATCTTTCCACTTCACTTTTAATAATATTCATTTCCTTACCCTGGTCTATAAGGCCCAGTCTGATTTGGTCCATGCCCACCTCTCCAACTTCATCTCTCACTCTGCTCCAGCTTTCATCAAATCAGTTCTTGTGCCCTGCTAGTTCGTTCTTGCCTCAGGCCTTTGCACATTCTGCCTTTTATGCCAGGAATGCTCTTCCTCTCCAGAACGCTCATACTTTTTTCTACTTATCCTAGCTCAGCTGTGAGCTTCCCAGACTGCCCTCTCTAAAGTGGTCCTTCCCCCTGTTATTGCCTATCACTGTTTTCCTTTGTAGTACTTATCATAGGACATAACCATTTTGTTGGTCTGTTGGTTTCATTGTTGTCTGCCCCTTTGAGTGGAACGTAGGCTCCGTGGAAGCAAGGACTTCTGACTGGTTTTGCTCACTGCTGCATCCTCAGCACACACCGCAATACAGATACATAATAGTTGCTCAGCAGATATTACTTGAATGAACGAATGAACATACAAACAGAAAACACAGTGTAGTGGGCTCGACTATTTCGATTTTGACTATTTTAAATGCAAAAGGTCTCATCTTCAAATGTTAAATGTCAAGGGTCTCAAACAAACAGTTCTGGGTCAGTAGCTGTGAGGCCCACAACTGCTTGGCTTCCTTCTAAGAAATGACACGGGAGCAAGTGGTGGGGGCAGAGAGGGCTGAGAGGAGTGTGTGTTATTTAATCCCAAAATGTACCTTACAATGATTTTTAAAAAGCAATGTCAAGGAAAAACAAGGAAAGTCTAAGAAACTGCCATGACCAAGAAAAGCTAAGGAGACATGACAACTAAATGTAATGTGGTGTCCTGGATGGGATCCTAGAACAGAAAAAGAATACTAAATAAAAAATTAAGGAAATTTGAATAAAGTAGACTTTAATTAATATTAATGTGTCAATATTGGTTCATTAATTGTAACAAATATACCACACCAACATAAGATGTTAACAACAGGGGAAACCAGGTGCAGGTATGGGATATGTGGGAACTCTCTATACCACCTGCTCAATTTTTCTGTAAATCTAAAACCGTTCTAAAAATTAAAGTCTTTTTTTTTTTAATCGATGTTATATACACTCTCGTGTGATACCTTAAACTCCTGAGGTTGGTAATGACAGCTATCAAATGCTAAGTGCCCATGATGTGGAAGGCATTGTTACATATGTTATCATATAGAATCCTCAGAACAACCCGTTGAGGTAGGCAGTACTATCACTATTTGGCAAATGTGGAAACTGAGGCTTAGAGATTTCTCGTGACACATCCCTGGCCACATGGCAAGTAAGTGGCAAATCTAGAAGTTCAACCTGCTTTCTTTTTTCCTCTCTAAGGACATTGGCACATGTCAGATTGTTTGATCCAATTTTTACAGTAGGAAAAACGGCTCCCTTAACCATCACTCTCCTCTGTGCCCTTCGTCTCTGTTCTCAAAGACAGAGCACCAGTTTGGGCTGTCATTACATCTCATGTGCAAAATTTCAACAGCCTCTTATCTGGCCTCTCCACCTCCATTCTGTGTTCCAATCTGTGTGGATGGCAGATTAACCTTTTTAATGCACAACTCTATTTATATTACTTCCCTCCTAACACTCTCTAATGCCTGCTGAAAAAAAGTCCAATATACCTTCTCAGGCCCCGCCCTCTTCAGTTTTGACTCCTTCACCTTCATCTTTCCTTTATCAGTGTCAGATACTTCCACTTTCCATTTCCTAACGAGTTCTCTTTCTTGCTTCTATTGTAAATTCAACACATGTAGATTGACCTGCTAATTGTCAAAAAACTTCCATGGCTGAGAGCAATTTATAAAACTGCAGATTCTATCCAGATCCTCAGAGGAATTTGATACGTAGAGAATGCAAAGATGCATTCAACCATCATACAGGGCATATGAGCTAAATGCTAGACCAGAAGAAGAAAGTGCTAGGGAGGGAGTGATTCGCCACGACTGGAGGATATTGGAAG